TGGATATAGGGTTATAGGGATACAGGGATACAGGGATATAGGGATATAGGGATACAGGGATACAGGGATATAGGGATATAGGGATACAGGGATACAGGGATATATGGATACATGGATACAGGGATACAGGGATACATGGATATATGGATACATGGATACAGGGATACAGGGATATATGGATACATGAACACAGATATATGGATATATGGGGACATACAGACATGGATATATGCACATATAGCCATGGGGACACAGGGATATATGGATATGTGGATAAATGGATATATGGATATATGGACACAGGGATATATGGATACATGGATACAGGGATACAGGGATATTGGGATATATGAACACAGATATATGGATATATGGGGACATACAGACATGGTTATATGGATATATGGCCATGGGGACACAGGGATATATGGATACATGGATATATGGATATATGGACACAGGGATATATGGATACATGGATACATGGATACATGGATATATGGACACACGGACATGGAGACACGGTGACAGGGACGTGGGGACATGGACACAGACATGGGGACACACAGGGATATATGGATATATGGATAGATGGATATATGGATATATGGACATGGGGACACAGGGATATATGGATAGATGGAATATATGGATAGATGGACACAGGGATATATGGATATATGGATATGGGGACACAGGGCTATATGGATATGGGGACATGGGGACACAGGGCTATATGGATATGGGGACACAGGGACACAGGGATATATGGATATATGGATATATGGATATATGGATATATGGACACGGGGACACAGGGATATATGGATATATGGATAGATGGATATATGGATATATGGATATATGGATATATGGATATATGGATAGATGGATAGATGGATAGATGGATAGATGGATAGATGGATAGATGGATATGGGGACACAGGGACATATGGATATATGGACACGGGGACACAGGGATATATGGATATGGGGATATAGGGATACATGGATATATGGATATATGGATATGGGGACACAGGGACACATGGATATACAGACACACGGACACACAGACATGTGGGCCGGGGTTCGGGGGAGCGAGAGGGGCCCGGCCCCGGGTTGTGTCCCCCTGTCCCCAGGGTGTGTCCCCGTGTCCCTGAGTTGTGTCCCTGTGTCCTTGAGGTGTGTCCCCATGTTCCTGGGGTGTGTCCCTCTGTCCCTGGGGTGTGTCCTCGTGTCCCCAAATTCTGTCCCCCTGTCCCCGGGGTGTGTCCCTCTGTCCCTGGGGTGTGTCCCCCTGTCCCCGGGGTGTATCCCCGTGTCCCCCATCCCCAGGGTGTGTCCCCCTGTCTCAGAGGTGTGTCCCCCATCCCCAGGGTGTGTCCCCCTGTCCCTGGGTTTTGTCCCCCATCCCCAGGGTGTGTCCCCCTGTCCCCGGGGTGTATCCCTGTGTCCCCCATCCCCAGGGTGTGTCCCCAGGGTGTGTCCCCGGGGTGTGTCCCCCTGTCCCCGAGGTGTGTCCCCCTGTCCCCAGGGTGTGTCCCCGGGGTGTGTCCCCCTGTCCCTGGGGTGTATCCCTGTGTCCCCCATCCCCAGGGTGTGTCCCCGGGGTGTGTCCCCATCCCCAGGGTGCATCCCCCATCCCCAGGGTGTGTCTCAGAGGTGTGTCCCCCATCCCCAGGGTGTGTCCCCGGGGTGTGTCCCTCTGTCCCCAAGGTGTGTCCCCCATCCCCAGGTTGTGTCCCCAGGGTGTGTCCCCCTGTCCCAGAGTGTGTCCCCCTGTCCCCGGGGTGTATCCCTGTGTCCCCCATCCCCAGGTCGTGTCCCCCTGTCCCCAGGTTGTGTCCCCGGGGTGTGTCCCCCTGTCTCAGAGGTGTGTCCCCCTGTCCCCGAGGTGTGTCCCCCATCCCCAGGGTGTGTCCCCGGGGTGTGTCCCCCCTCCCCAGGGTGTGTCCCTGTCCCCCCCCGTGTCACCTCTGTCCAGTTTGCTGTGGCGCTCCAGGAAGTCGAACCAGTGCTGGCCGGTGCTGATGGCGTCGCCCTCCCCGCTGGGAATGTCCTCCCTGCAGGCCGACTTGAGCTGCTCCAGGTCCTCGGCCGTGATGTTCTGGGCCAGCTCCTCCAGCAGGACGCGGTACTCGGCCATGGCTGGGGGGACACACGTGTGTCATGTGTGTCACACACACACATCATGGGTCACACCAGCTCCTCCAGCAGGACGCGGTACTCGGCCATGGCTGGGGGGACATGAGGGTCAAACGTGTGTCATGTGTGTCACACACATGTCATGAGCAGCATGGGACTCAGCCACACGTGCCATGAGCGGGGCCGGGCTCAGCCACACGTGACACTAGTGGCCCCAGTCTCAGCCACACATGTCACGAGTGGCCCCAGTCTCAGCCACCCCTGTCACGAGTGTCCCCAGCCTCAGTCGCCCCTGTCACGAGTGCACACGGCCTCAGCCATCCCTGTCACGAGTGCACACGGCCTCAGCCGCCCCTGTCACGAGCGCACACGGCCTCAGCCACTCATGTCATGAGTAGCCCTGGCCTCGGCCACAGGTGTCACAAATGGCTCCAGCCTCAGCCACCCATGTCACAAGTGCACACGGCCTCAGCCACCCCTGTCACGAGTGTCCCGGCCTCAGCCACCCCTGTCACGAGTGCACACGGCCTCAGCCACCCCTGTCACGAGTGCACACGGCCTCAGCCACCCATGTCACGAGTGCACACGGCCTCAGCCACCCATGTCATGAGTGCACACGGCCTCAGCCACCCATGTCATGAGTGCACACGGCCTCAGCCGCTGGTGCCACAACCAGCTCCAGCCTCAGCCATGCGTGTCACGAGTGCACACGGCCTCAGCAACTCCTGTCACGAGTGCACACGGCCTCAGCCACCCGTGTCACAAATGGCTCCAGCCTCAGCCACTGGTGTCACAACCTGTTCCAGCCTCAGCCACCCCTGTCATGAGTGCACACGGCCTCAGCCGCCCCTGTCACGAGCTGTCCCGGCCTCAGCCATCCATGGCACAAGTGGCCCCGGCCTCAGCCACTGGTGCCACAACAAGCTCCAGCCTCAGCTTTGCGTGTCACGAGTGTCCCCGGTCTCAGCAACCCCTGTCACGAGTGCACACAGCCTCAGCCACCCCTGTCACGAGCTCTCCCAGCCTCAGCCATCCGTGTCACGAGTGCACACGGCCTCAGTCATCCATGTCACGAGTGCACACGGCCTCAGCCACAGGTGTCACAAATGGCTCCAGCCTCAGCCACCCATGTCAGGAGTGTCCCCAGACTCAGCCACCCATGTCACGAGCTGCCCGGCCTCAGCCACCCATGTCACGAGTGGCTCTGGACTCAGCCACTGGTGTCCCAGCCGGCTCCAGTCTCAGCCACGGGTGTCACGAGTGGCCCTGGCCTCGGCCACTGGTGTCACGACCGGTTCCAGCCTCAGCCACCCATGTCACGAGTGTCCCCAGCCTCAGCCACCCACGTCACGAGTGCACACGGCCTCAGCCACCGGTGTCACAATCAGTTCCAGCCTCAGCCGCCCCTGTCACGAGTGCACACGGCCTCAGTCACCCACAGCACAAGTGGCCCCGGCCTCGGCCACTGGTGTCACAGCCGGCTCCAGCCTCAGCCACTCATGTCATGAGTAGCCCTGGCCTCAGCCACAGGTGTCACAAATGGCTCCAGCCTCAGCCACCCATGTCATGAGCTGCCCGGCCTCAGCCACCCCTGTCACGAACGCACACAGCCTCAGCCACCCATGTCACGAGTGCACACGGCCTCAGCCACCCACAGCACAAGTGTCCCCAGCCTCAGCCACTCAAGTCAGGAGTGGCCCCAGCCTCAGTCCCCCCCGCCCCACGGGTGCCTCCCGTGCCATCCCTCCTGTGCCATCCCCCCTCCTGTGCCATCCCGGGACCGACAGGGACCGGCGGCGGCTGCTCCGGGTGCCCCCCCCTGCACGGCCCCCCCCCCGGTTTCCCCCCGGCACGAGGACGGGGCACGTGCACCCCGAGGGGGGGGGAACAGCCCCCATTTGGAGTCACCCCCCCTTTGAACACTCAGCCCCCCCATTTCACAC